GAAAATCAACAAGATGTTCCCGGAAGCCCACCTTGCGCAAGATTCTGTGTACCCAGGGCGCATTCAAATGCGGGCGTAGCAGGTATTGCCATTTGCTTTCTTGAACCCACACCGAGGAAACTGGAAGTTTGATTTCCACTGGTACAGCACAGAAGAGCCAGTAAGTATTGGATCGTTTCCAGTAGTGAAGCGCCGGTTCAAAGAAGGCATGCCGTCCACGAAGTAGCTGTAGAAATTTGCGACTGCGTGAGTGTTCACGACGTAGAACATCCTGATCAGTCGCCCCAACATAGAATGGTGTGTGCCATGGGGAAAGTCGAATGTAGACGCACGGTTGTGGATGATGACCTGGATCATGTATGAAGTCGTAGAGGTCAGGAAATCGCGCCCGCAATGAGCGTAGATGTCGCGTGTCAGCGAAAGTTGAGTGCATGATTTCACACAAGAGAGAAGTCTTGTAGAAGTGAAGGACTTCGAAGAACGGCGGGAAGTAGCCGTAATCCTGTGAAATGAGACGTTGTAAGAAACTGATCAATAAATAGGCAGCGCACCGACATCTGTGAAGTTCGTACCTGTTGGCCACGGTGTGATGAGAGTTGGACATAGCGCAATTCGGAATCTGGAGGGCTATCCGGACCACAACTAAGACCTCGAGGATGAGACCCAGCCACGGCAATTGTGTGATGGATTCGTACTCCTCAATTGGAATCGACGGTGGTGGTAGTCCAGGGAAACAGTAATTCCAGCACGTCGAGAATGTGGTCAACGAGTGCAGAAGGTCGTCCAGCGACTGCCATTGTGCAACATCATTATAGATTCCGCAGCGGCGAAGTTCATCCAACATGGTGAGATGCAACCAACTGAATCTACCACAAGGCGGCGACATGAATACAAGCATCACAGACCATCACACAAGAGGCAATGCAAGAACAAGCAAGTACAAGATCAATCATGTGCAACGCAAACATTTGACGGACGAGTTTTCACCTGGACTCATCCGTGACATTGTTGCCGCTCCGGGCTCATATGAGAACGAAGGTCGTCATGATGCCTTCTCATCCACAAAGCAGGCGAGCGGTCACGATGAGGTGACTCAATGCCTTCTCAGTGAGTTTGGTAAGGTACCCGGGTTCAAGACCCCATGATGCTGCCATTGCACCGAGTGTGGGCGCATCGCCCTTCGGCATGCGTTGCCTGGCTTGAAGAAGCTGCGTCGCCATAGAATCTAACGACTTGTTGCCGTTGAGCCGGGACGGGTGATTGGCCCACTTAACCAGCGATGCCAAAGTGGTTGTTGTGGGTGCTTGCTTGAGGAAAAGGCGAGGTTGGTCACTGGTCCATGTGTAGTACTTGACAACTTCATCCGGCGTGCTGTGCATGGTGAGCAACTGTGACGCCGCCGGTTTGGACGGCGGTGACGACACTCCGTGAAGAGACTGCATGATCCGAGGTTGCACCACGCTATCAAACGACTTGCCATCCAGGGCGGCCGCGCTGGCTGTGGGAAGGGAGCTGGCAGGTGACGAGGATGGTGTGTGGTTGACCGGTGGCGGTGTAACCAACTCTGCATCATCTTTCTGGTTTGTCATCGTGGGCGAGGTCGATGCGCGAAGTGATGCGGAATATTGAGCTTGGAGAAGTTCATGTGCACGATTCAAATCATTGAACTTCTTGACCATGTCA